GACGCAGGGCTTGATCCCAGGACCCTGAGATCATGACCTGAGCTGAAGCTTAACCGACTGAGCCACCCAGGCACCCCTCTTATTTGTTTTTTCATTTGTTTTTCTTTTTAGATTCCACATAGAAGTGAAATCATATAGTATTTGTTTTTCTCTGTCTGATTTATTTCACTTAGTATAATACCCTTTATGGCTATCTATATCACAAATGATAAGATCCCATTCTTTTTCAGGGCCGAGTAATAATCCACTGTGTGTGTGTGAGTGTGTGTGTGTGTGTGTGTACCCCACACCTTCTTTATCCATTCATCTATTGATGGACACCAGCTGCTTCCGTATCTTTGCTATTGTAAATTATGCTGCAGTGAACATAGGGACAGAGGATGCAAATAGACGTTTTCCCAAGGAGACATATTGTTGGCCCACAGAAAGAAATGATTCTCAACATCATTAATCATCTGGTAAATGTAAATCAAAACCACAGTGAAATAATACCTCACACAGGTCCGAATGGCTAATATCAAAAAGACAAGAAATAACAAGTGTTGGTGAGGATGTGGAGAAAAGTTTAGCTTTGTATGCTGTGGTGGGAATGTAAATTGGTGCAACCGCTGCTGAAAACAGGGTGGAGTTTCCTCAAAAAATAAAAAAAAAGTATTACCATATGATCCAGAAATTCCACCATGGGTATTTACTTAAAAAAAAAACAGAAACAAAAACAAAAACAAAACACCTCAAACACTAATTTGAAAAGATATATTCACCCTCAGTCAAACTGATATTTGATGGCGGATTGTACTTCCTGGACTATGTGAGATAGGTTCTATATTTCACCACTCAAATATGAATCTATTAGCCTTGATAGATGCTGGAGCAGGGGCAGTGGTGAGAGTTTCTGAGGACGTGAGGAACCCCAAACTAAGATTTATTCTTATGTATGGACATCCCATCTGATGAGTTATAAGAACACCAATGGGAAGGACAATACTTCCTCTCAGAGGGTAGTTTAGATTCTGCTTTAACATACGGATTGATGGACAATGAAATTTTCTTGCATAAAGCACCATCAGAAAAATGTGAACATGAGACATTTTAAGGTGGTAACCATACCCTCACTTTGGCTTGAAAAATCTCAATGAAGCACTCTTAGAATGCCTACCTCTGAGCATTATATTTTCCAGTGGGTTCTCTAAAATAAACTATTTATGGGTTATAGCTCTGATTTATTTTGGGATCATTATGAAATATCTGCTATGAGTAACTATTGTTTCTTTTTTGAGATAGTGGGCTTATGGTCTATTTATGTCACTTTTAGTATGTGATTTTAAATCTTCTGATCTGCCTGTGGTAGAAAGCTTCTATTTGTTTTCTTTAACAGGAAGAAATGATCCAGTTCAGCAAAAGTCAAAACAGATTTCAAGAATTTAAAGGAGTAGAGTAGTGTCATGGGAACATAACCCTGTTTTAACCCAGATAATAAAATTATGATTTGATTTGTCAAATCAAATTTTTATTGCTCTTGACCCTTGTAGTTCCTTAATACTCATGGTGTGTCTGCTATGTGTACAGAACAATATTCTGGGGAAAATGGGGGATATAGGATATGTTAGCTGGAACAAGGGGCTTATAACCCTATTTGGGAAAATAACAAATATCTTTCTGAAATGTTAGAAAGAAATACAACAGAAAAAAAGACATTCATGGATAGTTGAGGAATGACCACAGGGCAATCATCAGTTAAATTGAAAATTTAGGAACAATCAGTGCAAATGCCAACAAAACTCTGGAGACCAAAATTTGTTGAACTAGCTTCCCATCATAAAGTAAAGATTTAGCGTTGGTTCTGTATCTTGATGTGTACATCTGATGATGATTTTGAATTCCTCTGAAAAGGATTTTTTAAATACAAGAAATGTTCTAATCAAACATAGATTTTAAAAAATCAAAACAAGTAGCACTCATGGTGTGTTATTTTTGAATCACAGCATGTCATTTTTATAGCTCTTTCCACATAGTATTTGCTCCTGCTTCATGCAAGCCCTATAAAAAAGACTGGAGCAGGCGTTTTTCCTGATTTACTGATGAGAACATCAAGACCTCATAAAGTTAAGAGATTTATCTCTGGTGCAGCACTGATAATATCCTAGGAGTTTTATCAACTATATTTTTCTTTATATTGTAGAATTGCTGATAGGGTTAGGTAGAACAGATGACTTAATAGCTTTGTTTTCTGTATGATATCTACAAAGTACCTTTTCAGTACCTTGTTGAGTAAATGAAGGAAAATGAAATTACCAGCTATGGCCACTGCTTATATTGACAAGCTGTCTCTTTTATTTCTTTTGTATCTGGTTATTCTGTTAATTCAGTAGACAGTTAAGTAGCTTTATGTAGTCATCATCACATTGTCAAGTGCTATGGGAGATTTATAGGACCTGTGGACATAACTTCACGTGATAAAGGAGTTTTCAGTCAATCTGGGGAAAGATCAGATGCACTCAGGAAAATGTTAAGCCACCAACCTGGAAGGCATACCATTACTTCTCAAAATGAGGGGTGGCAGGGTGCTGTATCAGTGTTCTGATGCAGGAGTGATCCAGGTGAGGTGGGACTTCAGTGAGACTTTTACTGAGAGATTAGATTCCATGAATGGGGAGAAGTAGGGAGGCATTGAGTGGAGTGAAGCTTGATTTAGGGAACATGGAGAAATGAATTTTGGGGGGGGAGGAAGTCATATAGAAAAATTTAAATGATAGGTTGAAGAGTTGGTGTCTGTAGGTGTTAGAAAGCCGTGAAAGAAATTTGTGTTTTGCTTAATTTCTCCATGCTACGAAGGAGCAATTTTGAGATTACCATCGCAGCATTGTGATGTATTACAATCCTGGGGTGTGGCTAAAAAACTAGAGGACTGACCAAAATTTATTGTTGTTGTGTTTTATATGAGGTTTATAAAGTGCTTTTAGCATACTTTGTATTTTGGTGAATTGTGAAATCCTAAATGAAACTGCTCATCCCCTTGACTATTGCTGCCTTTTTTTATATGGCGCCAAATTTGAGGCTGAGTGGGTCTGTCATTAGGATGATGAAGCTCTCTAGGCAAGAGCTCCTTTGTCAGGGAAGGTACAGCTTGCCACCCGGGTAGGTGCTTGACTACACTTTCCATGGAAGGTTCATGTGCTGTCGACACGAAAGAGGCAGGATTCTGTGCCTAATGGTTGCCACAGGCAAGGAGACATTGTCAAGCAGTGGCTAGATGGTGCACTGTCAGGCCATCAAGCCTTGACATCATCCCTCGCCCAAGTCTTGCTCTGTTCTTGTAGGATATCCTCTGATATTTTTGCCAATCCTCATAAATTGAATTACTTTAGTTTCACTAATGAGAGCTTATTTCTAACATCATTTTAATTAAACAAACTACTAATTTCACCAATGAAGAGCTATTTCTGACAGTGTGCTAAATAGCAAAACCTTTGGTGTTGATCAAGATATGAATAGTTGAAAGAGATATGGATGGCTGAACTGCTTGGCCAGGTCTGAAATGTGGCCCTTTCTTATGTGATTACTAGCCAATCCCAGGAATCTGAATTCTCAATTAGGGCCAATGTCCTAAATCTACAGATACATTGTATCTTACTGTCTATGCTGAATGCTGGTTTGTGAATTTCTTAGATTGATTTATTAAACACATTATGGAAATAGCAATGCCTGTCCTCAGTTAACCCTGTTTACAGTCTCAACATGGTGATTATGATATATATATATAGGGAGAGATATATATAATATATATGATATATATAAAAATATATATGATATATATATATATATTTTGTTTTGTTTTTAATTTGCTCTTAACCTCTACCATACTGTTACTCTCTTTGCTTTACTTTATATTGATCAAAAGCTATAGGGAAATAGACCTATAAGTAAGGAAAGTGTCACAAAGAGACCTAGGGCATGCATATATTATGTGCATGCATCCTAAAATGGTTAAACATGTTATTCTGAAATCCTAATGAGCAGTTTTCCAAGGTGTTTATAAGCCTCGAAGTGGCCTCCTTTGTAAGAGTTCCACTCTGCTTCCTGGCACTAAGTCTAGTTTTGAGCCTTCTTCTCATTCTGTCCAGATTCTGTTGGTCTGCAGCTGGGAAGCACTTTCTTTGCCAGAGGATCCCTGTCCAATTCTCTTATTCTTGGCAGGTCCATTTACTTTTTCATGGTTTCAGTCTTAAACAGTTCCCAGCCTGGACCCAAGATAAGTTGGTTTCCTAGGCATTTTGTTGTTGAAGGCAAGGACGCTAGTATTGTCCTGTGGGGCCCAAGTACAGCCTGTCCTTTGCCTTTGCTACAAGTGTTTAAACTGATGTTAAATGGACATGATATTCAAATGTCTTAAAGATGCTAGTTCAGGGAGTTCTCTGATTGAACGTCTGGATTTTCTGATCTTATAATTCCTTGCAGACCCACATGGCATCTCTACCACTAAGAAAGACTTAGATTTTGCTTTAGAAAAGAAGTTAAGGGCGCCTGGGTGGCTCAGTTGGTTAAGCGACTGCCTTCGGCTCAGGTCATGATCCTGGAGTCCCAGGATCGAGTCCCGCATCGGGCTCCCTGCTCGGCAGGGAGTCTGCTTCTCCCTCTGACCCTCCTCCCTCTCATGCTCTCTGTCTCTCATTCTCTCTCTCTCAAATAAATAAATAAAATCTTTAAAAAAAAAAAAAAAGAAAAAGTTAAGACAAGTATGGTCATGAAGATGAAATGACTGTGTGAAAGAATGTTTATATTATGAGTCTACATTAGATAGTATGCAATGCTATTTTAATGTTTTATATATATATATATACACACACACATATATGGGTATATATATATGTATATATATATGATAGAAATGATGTAATGTAATAATCAAAAAAACTTCATTTTTTTATAATTGAATTAAAATAGCTTTACATTTATTTATTTATTTATTTATTTATTTATTTATTTTTCATTTTTAAATATAGCAAGATCAACTTTATACCTGGGCTGCAGTCAGCCAACCCACTCACTCACTGGATTACACAGAAGGGCAGTTTCCCAGGCGAGTCCCGTCTGTTTGGCCCCCATCGAAACCTCCTGATGAAGAACACAGGCCGAAGGATGCTGAAACAGGTGGGACCCCAGGAACAGTGCATGTTCTTCTGAAAGTGCGTAACATGAAGTACCTATACAGTGCTTACGGGGTAGTGAGTCTGCATTTCTCTTCCAAGTATTTCTTTGATTATGATCTGCAGCTATCTCAAGTAAAATCACTGGGAGTCTTGTTAAATTGTAAATTCTTATGCCCCACCTTCAGAATTTTAGGGAAGGGGACACTGGAATTATTCAGTTATTATTGTGTATACAAAAGTTTGTGAACTACCACTTCAGGAGGCCAACTGTAGCCACCACCTGAGATGATATGAGCCAGATATCCTGTGTGGACTGAGAACTCCAAAGGGAAATTTCTGTCTATTACCTTCAAAGGTGGTGTCCACGTCACTTCTCCACTCTGGCTCTCTTCCCTTACTGCTTTCCTTGTGCTTTTCTTGATCCTTTCTTTACCTTCAGAGATAATGGGGACATAGAGATAAAAGGTTCATTAAATCTAAATTTTAAGTAATCTTTTCAAAACTGTACAGTGTTCAGATGTATTTATTCTTCTTTAAAATTTTTCTTTTTGGTTGTTTTTCTCTTTGCATCTTCTGTTGTCTTATTTTGTGTTATTGGCTGGGAAGATAGCATGAGATTAATATCAGCTTTCTATGGAGCCTGAAAGTGGGAGAACACTTTGTGTTTGTCTTAGGAATTAAGAATCGTATTTGTGTAATAATGTTTTATGAAATTTGGTTGTTTAATTCCTTTTTAAAAAAAATTTCCAATTTGGTATAATAAATTCCTGACTTCTTCTCTGTGGACTGATTCATAAGTGGAGAGTACATTGAAGAGCATTATTACTATTCAGAAATCTATCCCTCACCAAATTTTCCTAAATAGTAGCATGAGTGTTAGAATTAAGAATTTTGATTTTGGGGGGCACCTGGGTGGCTCAGTTGGTTAAGCATCTGACTCTTGATTTTGGCTCAGGTCATGATCTCAGGGTCATGAGATTGAGCCCCGCATTGGGCTCCACGCTCAGCAGGGAGTCTGCTTGAGATTCTTTCTCTCTCTCCCTCAGATCCTGCCCCCACTCTCTCTCTCTCAAATAAATAAATAAATCTAAAAAAAAAAGAATTTTGATTTTTTTCCTCATTGGTTTATAGAGAGAAAGTCATTAATCTGGATTTGTAATAAAAGAGTACAACATAAGAACATGGAGCTTTGTAACCTTGGGCAAAGTTCTTAATCCCTGTACTCAGTTTCCTAACCTGTAAAATGTCGATAAGAATAGCATCTCCTGAATAGGGCTGTTTTGAGAATTATATGAGTTAATGCATGTTAAAGCATAGAGTTAGCATTCAGAATACAATGTCAGGCTTAGTATAAGTGTTTGCTTTTGTTATCATTATTACCATTATTTGATATCTTTATTTGTTACTTCCTCATGAGTTCCCTTTAAAGCCAACAATGACCCACAGTGTTAAGGATTTTATTCTAGGCCTCTTTCCAAAGTGAATGTAGTGTTTATAATCCTGTTTTTATCCCAATCTCTGAAGGGATGCATTTACCTTTCTTCTTTCTACAGAAGCCCAGAATGGGGGCACATACCCAACCGTGTGTGTCCCCTTTTTAATGTCTGATGCCTTTGAAACACTGCTTAGTGTTCACTAGGTGGACTATATTCCCTGAAATGAACAACCCATGAAAGAGAGGAGTAAGAAACATTGTTCCATGTAGGGCTCTGAGTTTCTTGTAACACAGTACAGTTGATCAAGGGCCAAGGTGTAGAGTTCCTTAGTGCATGTATCTTCAGAAATGAAGGGGTTCTAACATGATAATACCTGAAAATAAAGCAATCACATAAAAGCATACTTAGTTTTAAAAAGGAAAACACACAACTAAAAGTATTGCTCCTGTTAAGTACACTATGTTATTCATGTTAAAAATCACTTTAACTTCTTGGGTAGGAAATAGCCAGGTGTAGATATAATAGAATTGATCAGTTTCATTGAGTGCTCTCTTAACAGTTGTCCATGTCTTGTGTTTTACATCATGATTAGTGTGGTATTTTCATTTTTTTCTTCCCTAGTATGTTTTCCCCACTTTTTTGAAATACTTATATTTTCCTTTAAAATTTTAAGGCACCTTAAAAAAGTTTCAAAATATTTTATATTATTGATTTTGTATACCAGAGGAGGACTAGATAGAAAGCTAGTGATAATCTAAATTTTAGTTTGGTAAAAGATGATCGTTGGAATGGATACCAGGAACTTTGTAACTTAGTTTTCTCTTTGTTATTTGGTGTAGCCTGCAAAATGCCAGTCAAGTAATTTTTAATATAGTAACTTGTATCCTTTTAAAGTATGCATTCTTGAAGAGGATGATGGAGGTAAGTAGAAAATAATTTTGTGTAGTGACTTGTTTTTCTCCAGTTGATCTGTTATAAACCTCAACAGCCATATAGCATTCTTTTGTCCAAATGATCTAATGGCATTTTCTAAACTTATCCTGCTGTGACTCTGTGGACCATTCTCTTTCTGAGAGCCATACCACCCTCTTCCTTCTAGTCAGTCAGTCAGTTTTAAGAGTGAGAATGTCAGTAATATAGCAAAAACCTTGCATAGAATCTACAGCTTTCAAATATATAGATTTGGTGCAAACTTTGATAACATAATTATTAATAGTAATAAACTCTTTGCAGTACACTTAATGATTGGTTGCTCTACCTTGTTGTGTAGTGACATCATGGTTATAAAGCCAGTATTTGCAACACGTGGCTCCTTTCAATTTTAGTTTAAAGTAAAAGAGTTCAATGACTTTTTTTTCTTTTGAAGAAGAAGGATTTTTAGTTACATCTTAGAAAACTGAAAACTTGGTTTTGTTTTTGTTTTTCTGTCTTGTGGCTCATTTTCATTGTTGATTACTAATTCACATGTCCAGCTAATTCAGATTTCTCATGCATCTGACTTACATGTTTTTGTAATCCCTTCTGTAAGAGAGGCTCTTCTCCACCTTTCATATAATGGTGAAAGAACCAACCCTCCTTTGTATGGATTGGAAGTGCAGAGGTCAAGGTGAATAAAGCCTTGGTGCCTCTCCCCACCCTCTGTGGTGGTTCTTTTTTCTGGAGTCCCATGGCATTTTATTCATATCTGTATCATTCATATTACCTATGCATTATAATTTTTCTGTTTATACATATCTGTATTCCTTGGAGACTCCCAACATTTCAAGACCTTTGGGCACATAGTATATGTTTAAATATTTAAGCCAGTAAATTAAGATCTTTTGTTGAAAAAGATCTAAATAAATATCTCCTTAGCACATTCATGCAGGCGTTTGAGAGAGAGTTTTGTGTTTGTGCTGAAACAGCCCATGGACCATTTTACCAGGCTCAATACCAAATTTCAAAAGTTATTCACTGATTCAAGAAATCAAAGAGATAATTAACTTTAGTTTTCAAATTTATGGAGAATAGGGGCAGGATGTCTAGATGTGTATAAGGAATTGATCATTCTTATTGTGTCTTTGAAACATTAAGCCCCTTATCTTTCTCTGAAAATGTAAATGGCCAAGAGGAGTGATATTTAGGAAGGCAATTTGGGGACAGAAAATCCTGGAGGAAACTATGTGGAAGGAGAGGTGGTAGAAACACGGCAGAGACTTTTTATATAGAAATCCTAAAAGTTGTGGTTACATGCTGGCTGAAAGCAGTGTAACCCACCTTTGCTCCAGAAAAGGTTTGAGCAGCATATAAATATCTAAGGTATACAGAAGGATTACAAAGGAAAATAAATCAAACTGAAAGGAATTTAGGATGGAAGAATAAAATGAAGCCAGGGGTAAGGTAGCACACAAATGTATTGCAGAAGCACTTGGAATTTTCAAAGGTAGTTGGAAATTTTTCCTCAGGTTTAAAGCAAAGAGGGAAATGGGGACAATTCTATAATCATCCCCTGTGTCCATGAGGTTAAAAGCAAGTGTTTCAGAGAAGCCCTTTTCTGGCCTTCTATATAAAAAAATAAGTGTTTCTGATGGTTCCTAATAAGATTCTGTGTGATGCAATGCAAACAGTATCATCAACTCATTTCCAGATGTAGCTGAATGCTTTAACAAATATTCAGTTGGGGTAATGAAGAAATTCTATAAGGAACCCAGGAAGAGTTTGATAGTGTTCTATTTCTCAGCTTCCCACGTGGTCAAGGGATAAAATGTGCTAGAAAAGACTGAAAGATTGACCATGTCTCCTATAGATGATAATAATAATAATATAATAATAATAATAATAAATTCTTCTTCTTCTTTTTTGTAATTTTGGCTTTCATTTCTCTCTCATATATGCAAGCTAAAGCTTGTGTGTCCATATCCTTTGTTAGCAATGAGGGGCATATCCATACTGTGAGATAATCAAATAAGCAGATCATAGGGTTGGGACCTTTTAGGAAAATTACATGTTTAACTCTATCTTCATTTATGGAAGGACATGGTATACCAGAATTAAAAACATCTCCCATAAGTCATACTATTTAAATAAAGTTTAATAAGTTCTCTCTCAATTAAATTGACTAGACTTGAATCAAATTGATGTATATATCATTAGAGAAACTGTATTTTAATAATTTTATGTAAGTGCCTTTTTACTTACAGTGTAAAACTGGAGACTGCTCAATTCATTTTTAAAAGGCATGCTTTATATGCTTTAAAAGGGTGATTTAATTTATTTTCCATTCTTAGCAGGGAGGCATATCCTACTTATTTCCTTTCTCCCTATAAATGTAAAACTCATCCAAGTATGTTTTGTTTTACAAGTCATAGGCTTATTTTGTGATGATAAAGAAGAGTTCATCTCTGAAACATGTTTGGAATTGTGGGGAGCCCAGAATTTTAGATTATCAATTATTTAGGACACTTAAAGTTTTGTCAGGAATGTTCTTTCTCCTACTTTGCTTCACAGTGATGTTTGTTTTGTTTTGGTTTTAAAAACAGTCTAGTTTCTGAATTCTTAAAAAGGGAGAGAGAAGGAGTTGGCAGTTTTAAATGTACCTTTGAGAGAGCTCTCACTGGTTTACTCTTTAAAAACAACCATCCTGGTCGATGAATATGTAATGGGAACTGTCAGTTCTAGAGCTGAGTGGAAGGCAATTCCAGAAAGCCCCTAGATGCTGGAAGATGAGAGTGTTGGTAACAAGTGTCATGGGAGTTTGTACCTGAGGTGATCATTCTAAGAATGTTAGAACTAAGTGGATTTCTCAAATTCACTTGCCCAGTGACCCTAGCCTTGAGCAGATACTCAGAAACCAGCTTACTTAACATTTGCTGCAAACATGCCATTTTCTCTCTAATCACACCACTCTGTGCCATATCTCATGCTTCTCTTTATTCTCTCCCTCCTATCCCTTCTTTGGGTTTTTTTTTTTTCTTATTTACCTTCTCCTTAATTTTTATTTTTCTTTTCTCTTAGTTTTCTTCATTTTACCTTTTGTTTTTGCAGTACAGTTACTCTGTACATCTTTTTCATCTTAAAATCTTGACACTCTAGAACTCCTATGCTTCAGTTTATGATTTTGAAGAGAGCATTTTGCCATAAATTTCTCTTAGATGTTTTCTCTTACACTGATTCAAAGAAATAAGTATAGTGGAAGAGGGGGGTGGGGGAATTAATTCATTTCAGGCACCATTTATAATTCAACAGAGGGAAACTAAAAGTTTGGGAGGAGGGGGATTCCAAAAAGTGACTGAGTGTCTTTCTAGTTCATTGTTCTGGTAAACTGTATGCATTCTTCTTTGTAGAGAATATCTTCATTTATTGAAGGACATGGTATACTAGAATTAAAGACATCTCCCATAAATCATACTATTTAAATAAAGTTTAATAAGTTCTCTTATTAAAGAGAACACAGATTGCTTTTTAGGGTAGGTCACCAGGCCTAGGGCTATAGGGGAAATGCTAAGAAACACTGTGTGTATTTCTAATGCAAAGAACTGTTGGTGTTCCCCCAGGAGATCCTTTGGATTCTCCCTGTGCTGTTTAAATAGAAAGAAGAGGAAGAAAAGTGTTCTCCATCAATACAAAGCCCCAGGACCTTATCTAGAGTCTATTGTGTTTGGGGATTTGGAGGTAACTAAAACCAAAAGTGTTCCAGGGTTTGGATTTGCTAATATTAACTGCTGGTTGGCTTTGACGTTAGGATCCTTATTCAAAAGTGGCTAACTCTGCTGTTAAGGTCAGAGTAGAGATTTGTCGGTATAAGAAAGAAGAATCCCTTTTCGGAATGAGATCTTGCCATTTGCAACGATGTGGATGGAACTGGAGGGTATTATGTTGAGTGAAATAAGTCAAAAAGAGAAAGACATATATCATATGATCTCACTGATATGAGGAATTCTTAATCGCAGGAAACAAACTGAGTGTTGTTGGAGTGGGGGGTGGGGTGGGAGGGATGGGGTGACTGGGTGATAGACACTGGGGAGGGTATGTGCTCTGGTAAGCGCTGTGAATTGTGCAAGACTGTTGAATCTCAGATCTGTACCTCTGAAACAAATAATGCAATATATGTTAAGAAAAAAAAAAAGAAGAAGAAGAAGGTAGCGGGAGGGGAAGAATGAAGGGGGGGAAATCGGAGGGGTAGACGAACCATGAGAGATGATGGACTCTGAAAAACAAACTGAGGGTTCTAGAGGGGAGGGGGGTGGGAGGATGGGTTAGCCTGGTGGTGGGTATTGAGGAGGGCACATTCTGCATGGAGCACTGGGTGTTGTGCACAAACAATGAATCATGGAACACTTCATCTAAAACTAATGATGTAATGTATGGGGATTAACATAAGAATAAAAAAAAAAGAAAAAAAATGTAGAGAGAAGAATCCCTTTTCGATTACCTCAACGAAGTCGAATACTTGTCTGGGAAAATGCTTGTGTTTTAAGGCCACTTGTTAATATTCTATTGCCACAGTGACATCTGTTGGTAAGTGACTACTTCATGCTCTTCTCAAGGATTTTTGTTTTGAGACATACACCTTAAGCCGAGCTGCAGGAAGTAGCTAAAGACAAAGGGATATCTTTGCCCCTTATAAAATCCTTACTCCTCTTTTCCCTTTCCCAGGATACCCCCTTTCATGGTTTGATTATTCTTTTGATCACTCCTTCTATTCACTCCTACAATGACTCAGCAAATATTTTAAGCACCTACTGTGTGCCAGACACTATTCTAGATGCTGGGGATATAAGGGGGAAAAGGGACAAAAATCCCTGCCTTATGTTCTAGTAGAGTAAAAGAATTAAAATTAGGAGGCAAACAAGTGAATTATGTAGTATATTATGTGATGTTCCCTGTTACAAAGAAAGTAAGAGACAGGGAATGAGGAGTGCTAGCAGTGGGTGGGATTGCCACTTTATTAAAAAGAGTGCCGAAGTCTGGAACAAAGCCCTAGGGAAGGGGCAAGGCAGGGGGGGATATGCAGAGACCCTGTGGAGGGAACATGGCAGCATGTTAAAGGGTAGCAAGAAGGCCAGTGTGGACACAGCCCAGTGAGCAGGTGGGGAAAGGCAGAGGTGGTCAGAGAGGTCAGGGACTGTGGACAGATGAAAGAAGGTCATTGGGCCTGTGCAGAGACTGTGCTTTAATCTCAGTGAAATGGAAACTTTCAATGTAGTTTAACATATAAAATATAAATGATGGGCACCTTTTATTTTTCTATAGCATTGTCACATGTATCAACTAAAACGCTGCTAAAATAGGAATTAAATTATCCTCAAGAGTGACTGTTATTTCTTGTCAAGTGTCTGGTTTTCATGCCAGTTGGGGGTGGGGAGTGGTATGACAGGAGACAAGCTCTAGTCTTCAGCTTCCCACCAATTGCTTAGATTATGTGCCTCTGATTTCTCACCTGTAAAATGTGAACAGTAGACATGAGGAGTTGTTCTCAGACAGAACAGTTGTTTTCAGTTCTCCGTGGAGCACTGGGGATTTCTGAAGGCCCTTTTGTTTTTATTTTCTGTTTTTAAACTTTCATGCAAGCTTCACTTAGAAGAAATTTGTCCCTTAGCTTAAAAAATAATCCTGGAATTGGGTATCCCTTAGGTTTTCCAGCAGGAATTTGCAGTCTCATAGACTCTTAAGTGACAAAGGGAGGAACGAAATCCCTTTAGAACCCCTTATTACTAATGCCTCTTGGTGGTAGTGGAATTAGAAGGTAATTTGTCAATAGTCAGATAAGACAATTGAATTCTGTCTTTCAAGGTTGGTGAGTTGGCTTCTTTCATTGTGCAGACTTTAGCTAAGTGAAAAATAAAATAAGTGAATGTTTCAATAGGTACTTCCTGGCACAAAAAAGAAGCTGGCAATTGCGAACAATAATGATTGATGTGTCAAGAAGGACATGAGGCTATTCAATTTTAAAAATAATGACGTGAGTGTTCGTCATTATATGTGTTATATATACTGAAAAGTAGTCATGTCTTTTAATACAGAAGTATAATTGGAAGATAAATGGGATGTTTTTGGTACTTCTGGTTAAAGATATGTTTTAGTTAGTTTTGTTTTCTGGGTGAGGAAATGGGAGAAATTTTCTTCTTTAAGATACTGACTATCTTCTTCTTTTCCAAACCAGAATCTCAGTCTGCTGTTCTGGAAACTCCAAAAAAATGTTCAGATGCTGTTCAGCGGGTAAGAAGAGCTTATTAGGATGTCGAATCCTACTCTCTTTCTTTCTTACTTTCTCTCTTACTTGTCTTAAAATTGTGACAGACTCTGATTTATTTTTTCATCTGCCAGCTAGCTTAGGTCGCCCTTATTTCTCCAAGCCTTTAGGGGAATCCAGTCATGTGGAAGGGGATGTTTTCTTCCATTTAGGCTTTGCAAAGAAAATCAACCTTGAAGTGGAACTGAGTACAAGCTTTTTAGAGGGTGCATCATTCTGGGCACCTGGGTGGCTCAGTTGGTTAAGCGACTGCTTTCGGCTCAGGTCATGATCCTGGAGTCCCTGGATCGAGTCCCGCATCGGGATCCCTGCTCAGCAGGGAGCCTGCTTCTGCCTCTGACCCTCCCCCCTCTCATGTGCTCTCTCTCTCTCATTCTCTCTGTCTCAAATAAATAAATAAGATCTTTAAAAAAAAAAAAAAAAAAGAGGGTGCATCATTCTATATCTGGCCAAAGAGTTGGGCCTGACAGCAGCTGGTTCCAGCAGGAAATGGCGGCCATTCCAGATGTCACGTGGAGATGTGCCTGGCTGAACTACCAGTCCATGGATACGAGTTTAAAAAAAAAATGCCACAGCTTTTCTAAAATAAAATCATATTCTTAAGTTGCTTTGGTGGATGAAACACTAGTGTCTGTTTAATTTCCACAGAAACCTTTATATGGTTACTAAAAAAGCCAAATTTTATGTGTTTTTTCTTATGTCAAAATACTAGTAAAGAAAAAAAGACTGCAAGAAAGGAAAAACTTATATGGAGTAGTAATTGTGGATAGCAGTTGTTCTTTTGGATACAAAACCACTTTTTAAAAATGTATTTATACTTTTTCCCAACAAATCTTTAGAACATCGCTTAGTATTAGAAACTGTCAGTAAGAAGAGTCTGTCCTCCAGTGTGGTCTAGTAGAAGAAAAGACTCTCATCAGGTTCTAGGCCCAGCTCGGTTTCTGGTTAGTATGTAACAACATACTAAGCTATCTGGGACATAGTATTTTTCTCTGTAAAATTAAAGAATTTGATGGTTTTTTGAGAACTTTCCCAAGTTAAAAAATGGCTTCCCCTTTAAAAAGCAGCAGTCCTGCAGTGTACATGAAAAGTTGTGCTCCCCCTGGAGGAGACATGAGGGTATAACATTGGTCAAGAACTTTATTTTAAAACTTACTCATACTTAAGAAAAATACAGCTATAAAGTTATTACAATATTACTGACACCTACACTATACTTTTCATCCCTATGACTTATTTATTTTATTACTGGAAGTTTGTACCTCTTAATCCCCTTCACCTATCTTACCTATCTGAAACTAAGATGTCAACTATACTTCAATTAAAAAAATTAATAATTGGGGTGTCTGGGTGGCTCAGTTGGTTAAGCATCTGACTCTTGATTTCAGCTCAGGTCATGATCTCAGAGTCCTGAAATTAAGGTGGGGCTTGGAGCCTGCTTAAGACTCTCTCTCTCTCCCTCTGTGCCGTCCCACCCTGTGTGCGCTCTCTCTCTCAATTAAAATAATAATAATAATTAAAAAATGTAGATAGATTGGCCATTATTTTAACATTAAGGACACTCTTAAGGGTAGTGTCATAAAACATGTTCTCCTAGTTTTTTGTCAGAGCAGAGACCTACATGAGGCCAGGGCACTTGGAGATGGGGAGATGGTTGGTGTTCTCAGCTGATGGTTATTTAATTAACTGTGTAATGATTAGCCAGCAGTATTGAGATGAAGAAAGATAAAAAGAGGAAAAGTGAAATAAATTCAGAAATAATTAAGAAAAACAGTGCCCTCAAAATATCCTCTCATTTTTTTACAGGCTTTTTTTTTTTTTGAGGCATGATTAAGTTGTGATCTGAGATAATATATTAGATTTTTCTAAATTCTTATTTCCAGGGCATATGTTACTGAATTTTTGTTATATATGATAATGCCAAAGAAAGCCTCAACAAAACATAATCTGTACTATCAAAAATGATAAACATGTGCAACATTGCTCTATATATTAAGACTCAAGATATCCATGTGTGTACAATTACAGTGATTTTTCTATTTCTCTTGAACTGTGAACCATGGTAAAATATATTATAATAAGCAGAAAACCTGATGCACTGGGTGATTTACAAATGCTTGATGTTACAGCTTTGGAAACTCAAGGGTGAATTAGATTGGTTTAAATTTCACATCTTCTTTCCTTGTTGCCAGTGAACTCTCTAGAAGACAGAAAATACAATTAATTGAGAGGAAACAATATTTGGAAGCAATTGAGGTTAAGTCCTCAACAATGACATCGCTTACTTTCTTTGTCATAAGTTTACTTACGGATTGGTTCTTTTCTTAGATATGCCTATGTTTCATAAGTGCTTAAAGTAACTGGCCATCAAAGGGATACAGGAAACTAGAATTAATTACCAATCTACTGTGCACGTACTCTTTTACTGTATTATCTTATGCAATTCTTACAATAGTCCTTTAAAGTAACTATTATAATTCATATTTAACTGATACAGAAAAAGATGTTTATAGTAGTTCACTTGCTTACAGTCACAAAATTAAGGAAGGGTTAGGAGCCAGGATTTGAATATAGGTCTCTTTGATTTTATACCTCATATTCGCTACACTATGATAAAATATACTTTTACGTGAGGAATTGCCCTATGGCTATTGCCAAAATCATTAGATTGGTGGATGAGAAGTTTCTTTTCAAAGTTATTCTATTGTATTTAAACTCTATCATTTGTAAGGGTCAGATGTCAAGATATGTTTCAGAGAGACTCATTAGTTTACCTGTACATTTTTAAGTTTTAGTATAACTTTGGTATGCTAAACTGTGCCAATTTTGCTAACTTCAGTGTTTCACTGCTCTTTAAAAAGGAAAAAAAAAAACCTTACAATTTTCATGTAAAGCACCTTGCTTTTTTCTTCTTAGTCACTAGATGGCAGTTCTGTATCTCTATAAATTACCGCTACGGAAGGAAATGCGAGGTTTTAAGCCAGATTCTTCTGTATGAATGATGAACAGAAGAGGGTTTCTTGTCCATCGCAGGCTGCCTGCATTATTCTGTGGGGGTAATGCGAGATCTCTAGGACTGCTTAGTCAGAGGCATGGAGCAGGGTTGGAAAGCGCCCTCTAAGTTTTTCTTCAGATGCGAGTTCAGGCACCTGTTCTCTCAATCTGAGCATACTGGAATTTATTGAATGAGTTTTGACTTTTACTCTCTCCCTGTAGTTAATAATTCCGAGAGCTCCATATCCCTAGAAAGAAACCCATGACTCATAAGGCCTTTTCTCAACTAAAAGGAGGTAAAGGCTGTGGTGTTGCCAGAGAATCTGATGCTTAAAGCAAATACAGCTGACATTCAAGCAAAAAGAAAGAGCTATGGCTTTCTCCCTGAGGGCTTTTATTGATGGCCCTATGGAATTAGAAGGTTTTCAGATAAAACTACATTATTTAGGACCTCATTTATTGACTATTTATTTTCAAGTGATTCACTCTGAAAATCTGCTACGTCGAAAGGATTATTTCAAAGAACTGTAATAGGACTCTCTTTCAATTCTATTTTATATTTTTTGGTATTTGAGATACTGAACTGTAAACCTTTCATATTCTGCAATATATAATTATCTCTAAAAATGTTTGTTCCTATGTTAAAGATTAATATACAATAGCAAAACGGTTACTGCCAAATTTTTAAGTTATTTTTTGCTTTTGAAATTATAGTTGACCCTTGAACTACACGGGTTTGAACTGTGCAGGTTCATTTATATGTGGATTTTGTTCCCAAAAATACAGTACTATAAATGTATTTTCTCTTCCTTATGATTTTCCTAATAATGTTTTCTTTTTTCTAGCTTAGTTTATGGTAAGAATGCAGTATATAACGCATATGACATACAAAATATGTGTTAATCAGCTGTTTATGTTATGGCTAAGGCTTCCAGTCTATAGGTAGTTAAGTTTAGGGGGAGTCAAAAGTAATACATGGATTTTTGACTTTGTGGGTGGTTGGTGCTTCTAACTCTCATGCTGGTCAAGAGTAAACTGTACATATAAAATTGTATTTTGAAGCATTTTCCTAAAACTCCTCGCACCTTTCTAATGCAAATGGACTAGATGAAAGGTACATAGAATAAAATTTGATCTTTTAAAAATTCAAGCTTTGGGTAAGAATTGATAATATCAGGCAAACGAAAGTAGTCTCTCTACACATTATGGTTTTTATTAATTGTGAATAGCCACATCTATTACAAAGTCCTGGATAATAAAAAGAAATTAAACAGTATCAGGACTCTTACCCCATATGTTGGATTATTTATATGTAAATAAATTCTCAAAGGTCAGCAAAATGCTTATGACTTGAGATGACTGGCAAAATCTTATCTTAGTCCAATTTTAACCTCCTTTGAATACAAACTCTTCTCTTAGGATCCTGCTCTGATCAGCTCCTGGGTCCCCTTGATGCCTAATTTGATTGCAAACTTATTTGAGGAATTAAATATTCTTTCCCATTGGTTCTCCTTAAAGTGTCTGTTATAGTGCTCTTCATACAATAACCACTCAGGACAATTTATTATTAGTTTCAGAAACATCTTTATTTGGGGACAAATCAAGGAAACAGATGTGAGTAATTGCGAGGTAGCCTAGTTGATGGTGCTTGAGGGATTACTCACATGTGTCTTGCCATCGAAAAGTTTAGAGAATAAAAGAAGTATTGGTCAGATCAAAAGAAAGGTGTGGGGTGACTATAATTCTAAAAGGTAATGATGAAGACTTACAAAAACAAGAAGCCACTTGAATTTTCTTGGAACATATCACACACATCAAAGGGTTGGAAAAACATTGTTTAATGTAAGTTCCTTCTAAACTCTATGGCAAAAAGCAGTATGAATTTCCATGGTTATTAAAAACCTACAAAATGATGATTTACAAGACAAGTAAACAACTAGAATATAAACCAGGGTAAGAAAAATAGGGGTTA